CAGAAACATGTTTTAAATTAATTGTTTTAATATAATTTTCACCTCGACTAGTGTTTGCTAACTTATTACGAAAATATCTTTTTAAAAGACTGCTAGTCTTTGGATCAAGACGGACCGGACGGACCACTAACAGCCATAGTTTAGATATGTATTTATTGCTTTTTTGCTTATGCCCATTCAACGCTACTAACTTTTATTTTTCTCTTTTCTCTCAGTTATGCTGCGGATTCGATTGGTTCACGATGGTATATGATCACAGGTTACGAAATACACACACTTTGATTACTTATTTAGCAAGATAGATCTTAATATTCTAATACGACAATTATTTCTTTATGTAAATTTTATGTAAGTTGTAAGAATTACACGGACATTTTTAGAATATGATCGTACAACATAGCATTATTCTCAAGGCTTTGACGAGAAATCATACGATTTTATCAAACAATATAAATATTATTTCTCAACAAGCTTTTGCAGAGATGTAAACAGATCAAGTTAAGGTTAATAGAATTTGGTGATATTTTTTATGTATTAGAAATACCTTTGCCCAAACGATTACCATATGTGTTTGACAAATGCACTTTATTTAGCAAGAAGCTATTTCTCCACAGACATGTCGAGGATATAACGTACAAAATTATAAAGCATAATGAACTTAGCAATATACGGCAAGTATATTGTGAAACAAACACTCTAAGTCACACTTTATTTGATCAATTCCTGTTGCAACCAGTAAAAACAAAAATCGGTTTACAAAATCATCCAAAATTACAGGCATGTGCTAAATTATTAAGTAAAAGGTAAATAAAAGTAAAGAAAAATTCTTGAAATTGTCTAAGTTTGTCCAAGTATTAGTCTTTTATGCAATATTCGCATATGATGCATAGGGTTGTAATAAATAAATCAGACGGTTAATAACTTAAACAGTAAGTTATTTCAAATACGTATACAATACAAATATAAATTCGGATTTAAAATTTTTTTTCACTAGTAAAGATAATACGTATTCATATTATAATATTTGTTCGGTATGTAGTGCATGAGTAAAATACATTAAACCGCAATCCAATCAGATTCATAAATTCGGATACACCCTTTCACTTGCCATATAACCATGCACTTCGTTGACTCCGTTCCTGTATAAATTATTTATTATCTCATTTTCTTTACTTCTTATTAATATATTTTAAGCAGTAATTCTATTCTATTTTTTTGTCAATACCACTTTTATTAGAGTGCGACCTTTAATTTATATACAATATTATTTAATTAAACACCACTCATTTGATCTAAACCACATCTACGCTTACTTGGCAATTTAATTCCTATAAAGCTAATTATATAAATACAAGGCACATGTATAAGCATTAATATTATTATATCAACATTTGTCTTATTATAGTAAAACGTTGCATTTTCAAAAGTGTATATGTAAGTTATGTACCGTACCTGAACAATCGAGCCAATCAAGCCAAGCAGACCAAACAAAAAATATATCTAACTATAAATTACTAGTAAAGGCGGATATATTTTGGCTTAGAAAACTGTTATGAATCGAAGCTAAGCCTAAATAGAAAACTTATGTCAGTTTGTAAAACCTTTTTTCAAGGTTGTTCTTGCCACATATTGCGTATAATCCTGTATTTTTGCATAGTTACCTTTGGCATCGTCATTAATAAAAGTTTCTCTGCTTTTAGGATTAGAAGAGGATCAAGGAAACTAAATTCTTGTCGAACGTAAGTGTAAAATATCAAGCTACATTGTAATTTTTTTAAAAAGGTATGATACTTTTACGAACCCCTAAATTTTAATATTGTACCAATCAAATTGACCAATAAGCGTGAATTTCACGATAATCACATTTGGGGTCAAATCCGCCCATATGTGCGTACGTACGTACGTACCTAGGTTTAATGTGCTCACATGAATGCGCATCGGCCCATCTCTAGTTCGGAATGTATGGATTTGGTTTAGTAAAGTAGAGTGTTGTGATCTGTATTAAACTATATTAAGCAATATTTTCTTATTATACCAGATGCAATAAAAAGACTTCTCGATTTCTTAATTGTGTAGACGTATTTGAAGCTACTATTTACATCGTTGTCATAAAAATAAACTAACTTTTATTTGTAGGAATTAATAGTCTTTAATTCGTTCCGAAAACGAATATTATAGAGAATTTAATTTTATCATATTGCTCTGCAAATTACAACCATTCATTTTTGTGCTGCATCTTGAAAAACCCGAATGGACTCAACGGGTAATTCTTTTTATCCGGCAGCTTACTATGATTTGTCTGCCCAATAATTTTATTATTGGGCAGAAACAAAGTTTAAAATAGTTTAAATTATTGTCCCTGCCCAATAATTTTATTATTGGGCAGAAAATTATAATAAACCACCGGATAAATCCGTTATCAGACATGCTGATACTACCTTATAACTTATTTATTTGGTCAAGGATTTAAGGTCAGCCTAAAAAATTGAATTCCTTCGGAATTTAATTTCTTAGTCTGATCTTAAATCCTCGACCAGATAAACCAGTTATCAGGCAGTGCCTGCCTGATAACTTATTAATCTGCGAACATTTAGTATCTATTATGTTTAATGTATTGTTTGCACTCTATTTAGAATATGGAAAAATTTATATGTAGCCGTGGCTTTCTGTAGCCATTTTCAATAATTCTACAATAACTCAAAATTTTACTAGGGTAACCCCTGTTGTGTAACTAAGCAAAAATGTTTCTCTCGCAATTTTACCTTAAAAAAAACTCTAACCCTAACCCTAACCTAACCCTAACCTAACCTAACTCTAAACCTAACCCTAATGTTAATAGGCTGTATAATTTTTCTATAAAAAATAGTACGGCTACATGTAGCCCCCGGCTACAAAAAAATTAATTCTTAGAATATTATCTAGAATTTGCCACGAAACTAGCTCAACAATGTGGGCAAATAATTCTTGAAGCGTCAAAAACAAGACATACCACTGGTAATAAAGTATTTGAAAAATTTGGTCAACAGCAAATCAAAACTGAAAGAAAAATTTCCGGATCATATGTACAGTTTATATATTTTATTGTGCATTACTAACTTATTTAGTTATTAAATATACTATTAAATATATTATTAAATTGATACTTAAAGGTTTATCGGAGAAGAGACAAAAGCCGCTGGGAATAATTATGAATTTACAAATAAACCAACATGGATTATTGATCCAATAGGTGAGATTATATGAGGCCTTTGCAGTAGAAAGGGCCCAAACTCACAAAAAAAAAGATCTTCAGAAAATCGATTTTTATGTTATAAATCTTATAATAAATCATAAGAAAAAATAAACTTTAAAGAGCTATATTGCAAAATTTTATTAATACAATTACTTTTGTGCCTTAAGCAAAAAATGATTCTAGCCTTATTTTAAATTGATTTATATAAAAAAAGTTCTTTTGAAAAAAATGTTAGTTTGGGCCCTTTCTACTGCAAAGCTCTCATATATCTTTTAATTAGAACTTAGTCGTATATAATACTAATGTAAATTTAATATTTTAGATGGAACAACTAATTTTGTTCAAGGGTAAGTTATAGTATAGATTTGTTCATTCTTATTTCTGCAATAAAAATTAAATTATTTATTCAATTTCTATTATAGATTTCCTTTTGTTGCCGTCTCAATTGGACTAACTATCAATAAGGAACCCGTTGTTGGTGTTGTGTTTAACCCATTCCTCAATGAAGTGAGTAATATATTTTATTATAAATGTCTATAGATAATATAAGAAAAAACCAGCATGCCACTATTTGACATGCTACAGTATCATGGCATGCCGGTGTGCTTCTATTAAGCATGCTATTATTAGTAAAAATATATTAAAGTTTGATCAAACCAAAAGCGATATTATAATATACAATATATTTATTAATGTATATATTTATATTTGTATATAGAATAAAAATTGCATCCTATAGTTTAGTATAGTATGGATTTTGGCTAATGGCATGCCATAAGGCATACCATATTTATCCACATTAGTCACCATATTGCAAATGCTTATTTTTATATTATATAAATAAACATTTTTAAAGCTATTCACTGCTCGTAAAGGTCATGGCGCATTTTTAAATCATACAATTAGACTTCCATTATCCCATCCATATCCTCCGTCGGTGCTCCCATCTAGTCTTTCTCAATGTTTGGTAGCTTACGAATATAGTGCAACCAGATCCGATTTGATCCTTAATAAAAAGATTAGTTCAGTGCATAATTTGTTAAGATCACCTGGAAAAGTTTCTTGGAGTTCCAAAAAAGCTGGTGCGGTACGCGGTGTTAGATGTTTATGTAGTGCTGCTCTGAGCATATGTTATTTGGCCAAAGGTTGTTTAGATATTCATTATACGAATGCTTGGGAATGGTTCGTAAATTTTTTTTCATTGCAAATATTTTTTTTATTATATTTTCTATAATGCTTATAATTTATAGGGATGTGGCGGCAGCTCTTGTTATTCTTGTTGAATCAGATAACAAAGTGATGGCAGAAAAAATTCGCGGTCAGGTGATCTCCGGCTTTTCCGAACCCTTTCGATCTCAATCCATAATTTATGCTTAAGCCCGAATATCTGATATATACTGTTATTAACTAATATAT